CCACCTGTTGAAAGCCCTCTTCTGATGGGAATCCTGAGGAAGGAAAAACACTTCAAAACTAACCCAATAAACTTCTGAGCTCCAGTGCCCATAGCCCAGCTTGCAACCTTGGTAGCTTGCAAGTACCAAGTTCCCTAGGATGTCAATCCCCGTGTAATGGAAGACTGAGAATCTGTCATACAACTGGATAGCAACAGAACTTCCACAGTGTGAAAAGAGATGTGTAAATGTTTTATATAAAAAATATTATCTGATGTATTTCAGCAACTTATTGGGACTTGGATTTTCTTAAATTTCTCATCTGATCTATAGTGATAAAAATCATTGTTGACACATTTTTCCTTTGGATTGTCTTAATGATATTGGAGTACTGGGCTTTTTCAAATTCTCAATAAATTTAGCATTGTATTATGGTTTTTCTTACCTTTTTTAAAAAGAGTTCTTTGTTTTTTTAACATGACATTTCTTTGTTTACCCGCATTCTTCAGCCCAAGCAGATGAATAAAAAGACACATCAATACATAGACGCTAACCCTATTTTCTGAAGGCCTGTGTAAGATAGGGATTAGATCTTCTAGAAGATAAGTTGACAAAAAGGAATTTCATGTCCTTTAGCTTCTTAACTAGGTTGCCAGATCCACTCACTTTATCCATATATTACTCTGTGCAGAATCCAAATACTGAAGTCATCAAGGATATAGTCTGCTTATAATCAACACTTAGAGAGACTCAAGCAGTTAAATTATTGAAAGAAAATGTAAAGGTGGCCTGAGTTCTAGTCTCAGCTTTGTAACTAACGTTGCATGAATTCTTGAGCGACTCTTTTCACCTGCCTGGGCACTATTTCTAACTGGAAAGCAAGAGAATTGAATTTTATTACTTACAATGTCCTTTCCCAGTATACGATAGTAGATCTCTGGTCCCATAAAGATTGACAGATTCAGAAACCCTATATAGGGTCACTATGAATTGGGATCAACTCAATACGGCACACAACCACCACCACCATTTCCTCAGTAAATGCTCCATTAACAATTAAAATTTTCCTCAATAAGCACTCCATTGACAATTAAAAAACACCTACTGCCATGGAGTTGATTCCTACACATGGTGATCTCGTGTGTTACAGAGAACAACGGACACATGGGATTTCCTTGGCTATAATCTTTATATTCCAGAACACTTAATTGTACTTCTGAGAAATCTGAACCTAGACCAAGAAGCAGTTGTTCAAACAGAACATGGGAACACTG